GCTGAATCATATTTTATGACCTTATTAACATGGACAGATCACAACTTTAGAGTATTTTTCTAAAGATCTGTTTGTATTTTAGTGGCATATAATTGAGGCATTTTGCCATAAAAACCTTATTTTAGGGGCTGGCCCAGTGGCGCAGCGGTTAAGTTCACAGGTTCTGCTTTGGCGGCCCAGGGTTCACCGGTTCGGATCCCAGGTGCAGACATCGCACTGCTTGGCACGCCATGCTGTGGTAGGCGTCCCACATATAAAGTGGAGGAAGATGAAGCATGGCTATTAGCTCAGGGCCAGTCTTCCTCAGCGAAAAGAGGAGGATTGACAGCAGTTAGCTCAGGGCTAATCTTGCTCAAAAAATAAATAAATAAAATAAAGTCTTTTAAAAAAAAACCTTATTTCAAATGGCAGGTAGATTTTTATTTAATATACATCAGTAATGCACGTGAAATACTTTTTTAATACCATTATAATATTATAAAATTTTCTTGGAAGATACGCTTAGTTTTTCAATATGGAGTGATGAAGTAAATACCCCAGGCAACTAGAACTTTAAAAAATTCCACCTCTTCCAATGAGAAGACACATCTGTAGGTCAGTGTTTTCCAAACTGTGAGTTGCAACTTGTTTTTAGGTCATGAAATCATTCAGTGGGTCATGGCAAGTTTTTTAATGGAAAAGAACAAAGAAAGAAAACATCAAAATTATCAGAACACATCTAAAATAGCAAGATAAGTTTTATTTTGTGAAGCTTTGTTTCAGAAGGTATTGAGTGTGATAAAAAGTTTCCTTACTGTTTTGATCAAAATCCTTGGAACATGGAGGACGTTATACTCAATGAAATAAGCCGGATACAGAAAGTCAAATACTGTATGATCTCACTTATATAGAGAATCTAAAAATGTCAAATTCATAGAATCAAAGAGTAGAACAGTGGTTGCTGAGGGCTGGGGGTGTAGAGAAAATGGGAAGATGTTGGTAACAGGGTACAAACTTTCAGTTATGAGATAGATAAGTTCTGGGGAACCCAATGTACCAGCATGGTAATTACAGTTAATAATACTGTATTGTATACTTGAAATTTGCTAAGAGAATAGATCTTAAGTGTTCTCACCACACACAATGTGAGGTGATGGAGGTGTTAATTAACCTGATTGTGGGAATCGTTTCACAGTGTATATGCATATTAAATCATCACATTGTGTACATTAAAAAATCACATTATGCAATCTAAATAAATACAATCTTAATTTGTCAATCACACCTCAATAAAGCTGGAAAAACAATTTTAAAAACCCCACGTCATTTGAAAAGCACAGTTTCACTCCACTTTCCCCAGGGTGATGAATATGAAAGTTAAAAATCTCACAGCAAACAGATGTTATCCATTTGACCATTTTAGCACCTGTTTTTCTGTTTCTTTCACCACTTATTCCCAGTTAAAGGTATTGCATAAATATGTATTCACCAGTTGGTAACAGCTGTTCTAAATAGAAATAAATATAGTGGAAAAAGTTTTATAAAAGTTGATGTTGCACCTCGGAAAATATTTTCACAGAAAGATAACCTATTTTGCAAATTCAAGGTGACTCAGAGTTTGACTGAATTTTACAAGTTGAGTTCACTGTCAATGACTAATGAGACTTGAAAATTAATCACAACTTGGAGGAAAAAATCTAAGAAGAGGGTGAATAATATATTGAATATTCTCTAACTTACAGGATTTATTTTGAATTCTTCACCAAAGAACAATGTTGTACAAGATGGAATAAAAAGGCTTTTGAATAAAATGAGTTAACTTCATCTTGGACCACAGAACCTATTATTTGGAAGTATTTTGTGCGTGTGTGTGTGTACACCAAACTGTTATTAGTGAGTATTTTCCTCCTCTAGATTTTCTGTATCTTTTACATTTTTGCACCCAAGCTATTTCAAAAAAGAAATAAAAAAGGATTGACATTCTTCAATGCTAATGCTATTTATAAGAATGGGGTAGACACAACACAGAACTGTTTCCCTTTCATTAAAGCAAACAGTGTCCTGGGTTAACTCATCTTTCTAAATTAATTATTTTCTCAGTGTTGCTACTTATATTAAGTTACTCATAAATTTAATTGAATTTGGTAAAACACATAAAATACAGATAAAAATTGTCTTCTATGGACTCCATATTATTCGTAGGATGAATGAATGTTTGCTGTTAGTGCCATAGAGTCAATTCTGACTCCTAGCAACCTTGTGGACAGTAGAGCGGAACCCTGCCAGTCTCTTTCTGCCATCCTCTCACCTTCCAGTGCTCTTTCAGACAATGCTCTGTTGCTATTCATAGGGTTTTCAGGGCCAATTTTTTCAGAAGTGGATGGCCAGGTCCTTCTTCCTAGTCAGCCTTAGTCTGGAAGTTCCGCTAAAACTTGTCCAGCATAAGTGACCCTGCTGGTATTTGAAATACTGGTGGCATAGCTTTCAGCATCACAGCAACACACAGCCACCACAGTCTGACAACCAACAGCCAGGTGGCATGGTTCTCTGACCGGGAAACAAATCAGGGCTGTGGCAATGAGAGCACTGGATGTTAACCACCAGACCACCAGGGCTGGCTGTGAATGAATGTAATTGAGGCATATTGAATTCCTTGGTTCTTTCTTTCCTTTATTTTTCAATAAACAGAGTTTAAACGAGTACAAGATACAACTTTTTTTTTTCCTGAGGAAGATTTGCCCTGAGCTAACATCTGTGCCAATCTCCCTCTATTTTTTAGTATGTGGGCTGCCAGCACAGCATGGCTGCTAACAGAGCAGTTTAGGTTGGCACCTGGGAACTGAATCCAGGCCACCAAAGCAGAGCACAGAGAAGATAACCACTAGGCAACTGGGGCTGCCCCAAGGTATAAATTTATAAAATGTATGTGCATACATTTACTTACTAATCTTTCTCAAACTTGAGCAGTGACAACTGATGAGATCTTAGTTCCCACTATGTGTATGGGAAAAAAGTGAAATATTTGAAACACTAAGCTAGTTTTGTTGAAATTTATGAGTTAGACTATAGAAATGTTTAGATTTCATATCAGTTTCCCTTAATTTGCACGGATTCTTAGCTAAATTGACAAAAATTTCTAACATCCGCTTTTAGCATATTTAAACAAATATATTAAGATAAATTAGTTGTTGCATTTGAATTCCTTTGTTCTTTCTTTCATTTTTTAATAAAGAGTTTAAATTAGATGAGAGTATCCTGGAGTCTTAAATTAGACCAAATTAAATTAGCAAATGTTTATTGATCCCTATGTTTAAGATCCTATTCTTTCCATTATGATGGTTCTTGTTACAAGGAAAACCCCCAGCAAGTTGGGTTTGTTCAGAGAATGCCAGGGGGGAGGCCTTCATACTTATATTTTACGTGTTTAGTCATTAGGAAAGAATCATTAATCATAACAGAACCTAGTGGGGAGTTTTTCAACTGTGGTAACTGTGTGTAGGTTGATTTGTTTCATGTGTTATTCCAGTCTCTCCAGATGTTTTCCATTTGCTCTAAATCTCCCAGGTGAATTTATACTGGAAAGTAGTGATGATGAAAATATGATGATGAATCATTTTGACACTGAACATTCAGGCAAAAAGCAAAACTAACAAAGCAGAAACAGAAAAAGTAAATATCTAGGCATTTTACCATATCCTTTGAGTTCAATAATTCAGATACACCTCTGACATAAAGGTTCCTACGTCTTCCTTGAGTCCTTTTCAGTAACGGTCCATACAGCCATGCCAGACAGAAGCACAAAGCCTATTTTATGAAATGCCATATGTCCTCTAGCAAGAGATGGTCTGTTAGTGAACACTTGTTCAAAGGGCCACAGTGTGGAACTCGACAAACATTCCTGGAGCACCTCTTACATTATAGGTGCTGTTCTATATTCTAGAGATGGAAGAACAGGCATGGCAGCTGCCCTCAAGGAGCTGATGGCCCAGAGTGGAGATGAGATGGACAGCAATAATGGAACGTGGTAGAAACTGTGTCAGGTGTATGCACGTGGTGACACAAGTGACCACAGAATGCTTGGATATCAGAGCCAGCAGTCTTGTACTTGAGCTCCTCTCGCATACTTGGCACATCCGTACGATGTGCTCAGTAATGTTAGTTTTCTCTCTGTCTTTTATTTCTAAGTAGTTCTTCACAAAATAAAAACAATTCTTGCAAGGACCATCGAAAGAAATTTGGTGAAAAGTTTTACCATTCATCGGTCCCATATCACGTCTAATTTTTCTTTGTTGATAACATCTCACTTTGCAATCTCAGCTTTCTTTGTACCGTATTAATCAAAGAATACTCCAAGCTGGCTACGTTTTTTCAAATAACAGCAAAATTACCTAAGCCTCAGTTTATCATACCACTATGATGTCAAGGTTAAAAATTACCCTCCTCAGCTCGGCTTGTCTTCCCTCAGTTGATTTATACATCTTGTCATTCTTCTTTGTACTTACCCCTTGTTGTTTTGCTCTTTTTTTTCTGACAATTTGCATAAATTTAGCAAGATCACTTTGAAGTTTGATTCATGCGGATGAATATACCCTTAAAGTCATAAATAAATTAATAGTCTCCTGTTACTAATAGTAAAATATATCTGAATGTCCATGAAGTGAAAAGATACCAGATACTCTTACGTTAGCAAAATAAACATTCTCTGCTAAAAAAAAAAAATCGCTTAGAGGAATATCCATTACTCTACTAAACAGGCACTGGCGTCTGTAAGAAACACAGGATTTTGGTGCTCTAAGACAGTCTCAAGCAACTTTCCTCCCCGCCCAGGCTTGCCCTCTCGGCAAGTTTCCAAGTTTCCCTTATTCAACCAGCACTTAGGCCAACCAAGTATCGCAAACACATGACTCCAAACATAACCACGAGCGTGTCACACCACCAGAACAAAGCAAAGCAAATCCAACCTTGTCTGTGGAAATCACAATAGCAGTTGCAGGAGCAGACATCAAATGGATTTCACTGACCTGAGGAAATGTCTATCTGGCTCATCTTGGTCTGCGTGACGTTGATGTGAACGCCCACTTTGCTTTCAGTGAGGTCAATCTCCACGTTGCCCAAATTATCTGCAAAGCGACTGAAAAGCAGGAGACCATTGGGGCTCCAAGTCCTGAACTGGAAACTGACCGAAAACAGGTCCTGGTTCAGCCGGCCGGGGACCTCCAGGTAACTGGTAGCATTGAAAAAGACAGGCACTGTGTAGGGCTCCACACATGAGAAACTCAAATTTCCCTAGAAAACAGAAAAGCATGCTTTGATGCAAATGCAGAATAAAATAAGCATCCATGCAAGACAGGAGACAAAGCTACAGTTTTACCAATTTCTAAAGCTTGAGCCTGTGCCAAACTCTCACTCAGCAGCACGATATGGATTCAGCAGTCAGAAACCTTGGCATAAATCTGCTTAGAGTATGTACCTAAGAGAGTGCAGCAATTGGCTGTCAAGTTGAGGGATGTAACAAGCACCATCCATCATGGAATTGTTAGGCTGACAGCCTGATGTGATGGTTGAGCTGGCATGTGTCCCTGTGTTGTGGGCTTGAGTGTGGACCACTGGACTTTCTGAAGACAGCAAAGAGCTGCTCCCCTCCACCATGACTGATGCTGCATCAGCCAGGGAGGAGATGTCACTCTCCTCTTCTGGATGGCCTGTGTCAAACGTCTATTAATATATTACTTATTGGTCTCAGTGGGAACTATGGTCATTTGGTTGTTATTTATCAAACTGGTATTATGGGACAAATATTCTTGGATTTTATCCCCACACCTAATATATGTGAATTAATATTAACTATTTAGCATTAGCATAACTTTGATTATTTCATGTTATTTTGTTATACAACTGAAAATCCCATTTAAATTCCTATGAAGTGTGCATATATCAAATGCATTAATGCTTGTGGAAACAGTGGCACCAATAAACAAAGTGAAAACAAAATTTGCCATAATTAAAGTCTACTTCTTCCCTTTCATACTCCCTTTACTTGGTACGCAGAAGTATGATTTACCATTCAGATACATATATATATTCTACTGACTAAGTACCTTCTTTTTAAAGATGTGAAAATCTACATTTGCTTCCAGCTTCTTTTATCCCACCATAATATTGTGAGGAATATATTCTGATGACATTGTCATCTGATCCTTTTTTTCTTTTACAACACCATGTATCTATCCCTAGATGCACGGTTCTTCCATTTCAGCACGTTAACCATTAAATCTAAAGCAGGCTGTCTCTCTGAATTATATTCAAATCAAATTTGCACTGTACCTCCAGAGATGATTATTTTTAAATGCTTATTTTTACCGATGAAAAGAACTGCCTATGCATAATGACTGAGATCTTATAACTGACCACATATCTGTGTTGTGGGGACTGACTCCCAGCAAAATGTAAGGTCTTTCTGAGTGATGGTGCTGACTCTGGAGTCAACGTATCATGAGGGAACAGGTGTGTGTATGGAGAGGGGTACAGGACGAGTGTTGAGTCAATTTCACTGAAATATCAGCACCTGACATATTTGAAAGTGAATTTCCTAATAAATATCTGCCTTTGTAGAGCTGCTTGCAAAATGTTCTACTTGTCTCTATCCTGCCTAAAATTTTAATATATGTATGTATATTTTTGGTTAAAAGTTTATTCTATTCTGCTCATTCTATTTTAACAAACATCATTATAGATAATCTATGCTTTACTAAATATCTTTGTTATTCAAGTTAAAGTATTTATAACTACAATATCTTTTGCAATTAAAGTTGATTTTGGAGTGAGTCTCTGTAGTGCAATTCTCTGTATTGTGGGTACTCACTCAATACATCTGAGGACCAACTGGGAGGTTTGAGCAGAAATAATGTGTTAACTTTTCTTAAAGGTATAAATAATGGAAAGGGTATTCTGATGATTTGGATTGTGTACCTTTTTATCTTAAGCAACAATTTCTGAGAAAACAAAAGGACCCTGGTGCCATTTTATCCAAAGCTTAAAGTAGTGTATATATGAATACTGCTCTAGATAAGAAATGACACGGCATGGAAGGAGACCATGACCTCAGGGGTCATACTTTGTGAATCCACAATCTATGTTTCCCACTCACATTTGGTCACCTGGGAAAGTTATTTTTCCAGCTTAAATCTCAGTTTTCTCATCTACAAAATGTTTATGGTAATAGCTCTCTTGTAATATTGTTCTCAGATTATCACAAAAGTCATGTGCCTAGCACAGTGCCTGTTGCCTACAAATGGAGCTAGTACTATTTTTCTCTATAGTCAATATGCTTTATGAGATAATTTCGTCAAAGTTTAATTTTTTTCCTGTTGCCAATACTCCTCTACTTTTTTCTCCCCGAAGCCCGAGTACATAGTTGTATATATTCCAGTTGTAAGTCCTCCTAGTTCTTCTTTGTGAGCCACCATCACAGCGTGGTGACTGACGGACGGGTGGTGAGGTTCCGTGACTGGGAACAAACCCGGGCTGCCAAAGCGGAGAACATCAAACTTTAATCACTAGGCTACCAGGGATGGCTCAAATTCATTAATATTTTCAGAAAAATAGTTATTAAAGCAAAATTTTTACACTAAATTATTGCCTTATAGCCAGAACTCTGTTTATTCATTAAAGGATTTCCATTTGTCCCATCATTTTATGAAAACTCTAGACTCAAATGTGGGGCAACAAGACCATCAGAGCTCTTGGACAGCACAGTGCAAAGAGTCATGATATTATCTGCTTCCAGTGGCTCTCAAACGTATGTGTCTCTGGACTCCCAGGCTCTCCCCACTAACACTTCTGGGTTGAAGATGCTCCTGTTCTTGCACAACTGTAGGGAAGACACACACTAGGTTTTTAAGTTGATATTTTTTAATGATCCTAAGCAGTGTCATGGGGAAGCAACTGTGCTGGAGTGTTCTTTGATTTTTGCTCTCTTCCTTGCAACAGTTAAACCTGGAAACAACTCACCAGAAGACCACGGTGAGCTCTGTGTCACAGCTGTCATTATCCAATGGGAATCAATCTTAATTTAAATGCGTAATATTTAGTATGTTTAGAGTTTTGATAAGAGGTATATTTATTTACATATTTGAATGAATTCTCTTTGGAAATATGAAAGTGTTAATAAAGTTCCTGTTTTAAATATTGAATTAAATATTGAATTAAATCCTAAGCAAGAAATGTAGAGCCATATATAATGAGACATTTGGAAATATGATGCTGCCAGTTTTCAGGCTGCTGAACTCTGAGGATGAAACGCATACTGAAGTATGCCTGTTCTTCTGCATGGGGAATCCAGAAACACCAAGGCTAAAATTCTGTGCCCCCTCTGAATAAAATTTATTGTCCATTTCAGGCTAATTTAACACAAAAACCAGTATCTATTCTCAGAGTATATCCCATATCTACATACTTTCTGGTACTGTAAGGTTAGTTTTATGCTATTGACTCTAAACAAACATGATGAAACATGCTATGTTGTTGTTGATGTTCAACAGTCCACAGAAAACAAAAGTTCTTTGATTTTTCTATGAACCAATATTTTGGGGGTGAAACATCTTACCACATTTGAGGGCTCTAGTTTCTTCCTTCTTGCAAGATCAGTTATGTTGATGCCATTGTAGTTAATGCTTTCCATGCAGCCTTTGAAATTCTTTCTACTGCTGGAACTGGGTTTACCAGAGAAAGGTATGCCTCCAAAAGTTATCTTTGAGAAAAAAAATTAAATATTCACACTGTATTCAGCTTTAAAGAAATAGCATTCACAATAAATTAGACAAAACTATTGATACAGCCAATGTCAGTTATCTTTACCTCAACCAATATATACAGACATTTTTTCTGCCTCCAAAATCTGTTGCAAACTAAATTATGTTGTTTTTGAAGTGCATAATAGTATCATTAATTCTGAGAATTAGATTATAACTTGAATAAGAAAATAGCAACAATGCCTTGAAGTTTTGCTACCTGAAAGGAATTTTATAAATTTCCCTGAGAATTTTTTGATTTTGCTGGGAAAGATTTGCTCTGAGCTAACATCCGTTGCCAATCTTCCTCTCTCTCTTTTTTTCTCCCCAAAGCCCCTGTACATAGTTGCATATTCTAGTTGTAAGTCATTCTAGTTCTTCTCTGTGGGACACTGCCACAGCATGGCTACTGACAGATAACTGGTGTGGTTCCACACCCGGGAACTGAACCTGGGCTGCCAAAGCAGAGCACACAGAACTTTAACCACTAGGTCATCAGGGCTGGCTCTTCCTAAGAATGTTTTAAAAGATTTTATATAGTGGACATCTTTTATTAATGTTAAAAATACATTTTTATGTTTACCATTCAAAGACATGCTATCAATAAATGCTTCTTGTCATCATGAGATAACCCACCTAATCTAAGTTGATAAAACTGCAGCCAAAAGCAAGAAACATTGTATTAACCCTACACAGTCTTATTATAGTCTTTTGACCATTAGAGTCAAAAATTCATTAGACTTATTTTACATACAGAAAATAGTTCAAAAACTCTCATTACTAGATTGGTTAGGAACATCTTAGGACTTGGGGGCTATAATTTGGGAAGTACAGACTTAAAATTAAAAACTATTATAAGTCTTCTAAATCCTAAGGAATAAGGTCAATACTCCTCCCTGTGATTCTCTAGCTACTATCGCCTATAAAAAGAGAGCACATACTTTTCTGTATATCTTTGGTCAAATTACAGTATTGTAATAACAATTTCATATAATACAAAATTATACTTAACTATGTATTACCAATAGTGACATTCACTGCTAATAGTGATTTAATAGTAAATGAATCTGCTAATCATAACTATAATATCAATATACATAATCCAGATGTTACATAACTTTTAATTATCATTCAACCATTATCAATCTCTCTTTCAAAGTTTTAAAAATGAAAGCAATAGTTAAGACATTTTTAAATGTCAAGTCTTCATAATTGATACATAAGCCGAAGATCTTTGTGTTCTAGGAGACCATTAGCAAATTACATTCTATTATTTAGTGTCATGGCATTTTAAATACTTAATTAGTTTTAAAGAAAAAAGCACAAATTAATGATGGTTTATGAGACAATATAAAAACCAAAAGATCTCACTTAAAACTAAATTAAATTTATTAATAATGGTTAGCTGAATATATATCATTTACTATAGAATTTACATATAGGAAGAAAAGAGGAAAACAGAACAAAATATATAAAAAAGAATTAAGAAACTAGAAAAGGAAAGAGAGAGAGTAATTTAAAATAGGAGAATTATTGGGGAAAATATTTTCAAGTGGCCCTGACCTGAACTCGTTAGGTACTGTATAGGTGTCACTAATACCAAAGGTAAGAATTACTGATACTTGGAGTGCTGTATCTCCCGTCCATAGTTGATCAATTACTTCCCCAATTGACAGTAACGGAATCTTCTATGCTTCATGACACACAGCATCATATTTTGAGTAATATTGCTAAATACTAGTTTAAAACTGTTTTATTCCTTTTCTGTGTGCATAATTTCTTTATTTGGAGACTATCATTTTCCCTTGGGAAGAGGATTCAAACCCTCCTTATGTCTCTCTGCTTTGGGCAACCCTCAGCACATACCCTACCTCATGGAAGGTGCCCTGAGGAAGGATCACAGGCTCAGTTTACCAGATTCCTTGCAACTAAGAGATGTGGGTTCAAATCCCAGTTCCTAATGTAACCAATCATATGATATTAGGATGTCATTTCTTCTTTCTGGTTATGTATTCTCACCAGTAAAATGAAGTGGCTGGACCACAAAATACTTTCTGATATTGTAATATCTGATAGTAAAAAACTGTTGCAGTTGTTAGATTGATAATCAGATATTCATATGACTCATATGATTGACTTAATGACGTTGTCATCCAATGACAACTTTGACTATAAAAAAAAAACTGCATTAACCATTTTGTTAGCTACCAAGAATTTACAAAGTGTGGCAGGGACACTTCATAGTGTCCTTTCTCCCGCCTTCTTGAGGAAAAACAAAATTGCTTTCAGTTGCATATATTGCTCCCCAGCCCACATATTGCATTTGCCAACCTCTCTGAAGCAAGCTATGGTCTCACGGGATTTAAGTGGAAGGGCTGTGTGTGACCAAGAACTACAATTAAAGAGGGGAGGGGGCACAACCTTCTTCAGGCTCTCTTCCTTCCCATTGGCTGGAATGCAAGATGGAATGTGAGTAGCCATCTTGGTACGATTTGCAGTGGGGATGGTGTTGCTACAAGATTAAAGTGGACTGGGGTCTCGATGACCATAATGCTTGATGACCACCTGAGTCCAGGGCTACCTGCCTACAGGCTCCTTTTATATGAAAGAGAAATAAACACTTGTCTGTCATATGCAGTCTAATTAATTGTCGCTGATATATACGGTGATTTCTATTTCTTCCTGTTGCCTCCTCATATAACCCCATGAGAAATGTGCTATTACGTTCATTTTATACAAGGGGAATATGATTTGTCCACTGTCACACAACCACTAAGGGGGAAAAAAGGAATTCAAACCCAGGCTTTTTGCTCCAGTTTGAGTCCACACAACTGATTCTCTCTAAAATCCTAGCCAGGTTCTGCAAGGGACAAGGGAGAGTTGTTCCTCTACTTTCCAAGAGGAGCTGCCTTGCAAAGGCAAGGGCACAGTATCCAAGGGGGTGCATCGTGGAATTCAGATGAAGAAGAGAGAGAAGTCAGGCCAGACAGCAGTCTGCTGTCCTGTCTGTGGTTTTACCAGCTGAGAGAAGGAAGAATGAATTGAAGTGCACTGTCTATCGCCACCCCTCCTCTGCTCACCATGCAGCTAGCAGCTTGACGGCAAAGGGTGATCTGCTCACTATGCAGTGTAAATGGCTACAGAGAGGTGAGTGTGGCGAACTTACACTATCCCCCACAAAAAATGCCTACATCAAGTTATGTCAAAGTGGCAAAGTTATTTTTTATTGTTTCTTTCATGATATACATCTCTGGGAATGGTGATAGGCATTATTTAATTAACCCCTAATAGTGGTGTGCTGGATTCTGCTCATACTGGCTCATGAGAACTGATTGTTAAACAGAGCCATTATTAAAAATTAAATTATATAAGCTTTAAACTAAACAAATTACATTAAACAAAAAATCAGTAATTACTCAGAACTCACTATCATATATGCTCTTGAAGTTATTTACATTTATTGTGTCTATGTGATAGAAATACTGTATAATGGTGTGGTATAATAAATGTATTAGGTCTTTGTCCCCAGTTTCTGGCATAAAGCTCCTAAAATCCTGGGAATTTCCTGAATGATAGGAGTCTTTTGTTATTCAAAACAAGCTCCTTTTGAGGTTCCAGTCTAGTTACTGACGGAGAAGTCAAAGAGATACGTTGAAAAACACTGAGACTGACTCTACTATAGTCCCTGATTTTCTTTAAACAAATAAGCAAAGGGAATCCCTTTATATTAAGATAAACGTGTAGCGATATAAAGGTGGGCCCCCCCACTGCTCCTGTAGCTTATGTCGCTAACTGCAGGATCTAAGAGGAGAGAGCAGGCGGTAGTTTTACAAAGAGAAGTGAGTCGAGTGGATCCTGATTCCTTCATAGTAAATTTAAATTTCTTCCTAATGCCTCTCTCTAACAAACGTGTCTCAAGCATTTTAGTCTACAGCTGAGGTTCTCGAACATGGTATTGTATATTGGTGAGCTTCAAAGTGTCCAGGACACTGCTGACCCTGAATGAAAGCATTGTGTGGGTGTGAATATTCATAGATTTCATCACAAACTCAGGAGGGTCTATGACCTCAAATTTTTAATTCTGTTTTTCAAAAATTGGAATTGTGTTTGCCCATTGCTAATGTTCCAGGATTTCTCACCTCTTCTGTGGTACTTCAAAGTTCATTAATGGAGAATGAATAATTCATCTCTAAATGCTCTCATAGAGTGGGAGATGTCACCTAAGCCAAGAATTATACTACTTTGGAGAAGATAGAAATTTCTGGGATTTTCACCTTCTGTACCTTTCAACAATCATTTTGCTTTAAAGAGATTTTGGGGTGGACAGTAATTATTTTCTGATAACCTTAAATTTATTTTAATGTTAATAAGGTCTCCAATCAGAGTTTATCTAGCACAATCTATTTTAAATTCCTATTTAGGAGTATATGTAATATATTCATCTCAGAGAGAGAATTTAGAAACTATTTAAACATATAAAGAAAACAGAAAACACAGTTGTAAATCCTGACTTTTTCACTTATTATTTTATGGTGAGCATATTGCATATTCTTAAAAATTTATAATATAGATGTTGATAGCACACATATGTATATGTGTGTATACATATATCTACAATTTCAAGGTACACAGAGGTGGCACAGAAAACTCATAGGATGCCACAGTATACTTAACATTTTTAAAAGAAACACAAGGGTACTTGATTATCTTCCAGACATCACGTGAAACACTAGCTTGAGGTCGTTCACGGTTCCAACATCCTGTTACATCACTTTCTAGGATGTCCTGTCTTTTTGAAGTTGGGTTTTTGGTCACATAAAAACATGTCACATGAAAGTGGAACAGAAATGAGAATGGCAGTGTCAAATCTGATTCCAAATTTTGAGAAGCTGTTCAGAGCAGGTTCACTCATCCCATTAGAAACTAATTATTGTGGTTTCATGAAGAAATAAAAATATAATTTTTCCTTTTAATTTGTGTGTATTTTTTTTCCAAACAGCTATTAAGTTGTTAGGACATAAACATTTATTAAGTTGTCTGGCTCTAACTATTACAGAATGATCTAGGATGGTTGTGGAAAAACTAATAAGACACTAAGGGTTCCATGATGTAAGTAAGTTTACAAACCTCTTGCTGAATAATATTTTATCCTAAGTATTTACTTTACTGTGATGCTCTTTTCATTCATTTAGTGTTACCCTTTTTCTCTTAGTATAAATAACACTGTGATGAACATCTTCTTACAGAACTCTTATCTCTATATATAATTAACATTTTTGATGGACATTTTAAGCTTGAATTTCTCTCCAAATAATTTATTAAAAAACCTGAGATGCCTACTCATATAATATGGGAATATATAGTTTCTACTGGACCAATATGATCATGTATTAGTTTTTGATCTTTGATCATTTGGAAGGTAAAATACATTCTTTTATTTATGGACAATCTCTTTAAAATATTCTATATTTTACTTTATTTCTTTTATGATAATTTTATCTGCAAAAATAGAACTTGCCAAAAAAACTATTTACAGTCATGAATTTGTAAATGACAATATAAATCAGAACTCAGGATTTCTTATTCATTATTTTGTAATAAATATTAGGCAACCCTGTGTTTATAATATTCTGGACATTCTCGAGAAGAATAGAGAATTTATATTATAATAATTACCAATAAAAGATTACAACTTGTATTTATTCTGGATTCATTAAATGGCCCTGATGACATGACAAGTGGTCCCTCTCTTCAAATATTTACTTGGTACTAAGATTTTTTTAAATATTTCAAATGCTCATGATTAAAAATTCAGAAATGAAGAAAATGACATATATTAATAAATAAAGTTTTAAGTTGTAAGTTAATTTTTCTTTGGAGAATAAGATGCAATGGTGTAGGAAAGTATATGATTAACAATAATGTGACAGTACGGTAGGAGACGGAGGCAGCCACTCCACATTAATCATAACTTACACGCCCTCAAGTTTACCTCATAGTCCAAGTCCAAGTAGTCGAACTCTCCGTTGGTGCGGAAGTGCTGCATGCTCCTGTCCAGGGTGAGGTTGATGCTCCGGCCCTGGCGCTCGATGACCACAGAGTGCCAGTGGTGATCATCCAGCAGACTTCCTGTCATCACAGACGTGTGGCCATAGATGGGGCCAAGCTGGTTGCTTCCTGAGTCAAAGGAGTGGAAAAGACACAAAGGAATGACACCAACAGCCAACTCTGTGGAGCAGGAGACCTTTCATTTTCAATGCTACAGGCTGACCTTCCACTAACGTTCTGCCTACTGACATTAACATGGGGAAACCAACATGCAATTATACTTAAAAACACTATTATATTCAAAACATATGTTAGTAAAGATGGAAAAAAGTCTAATCCTTTCAAAAGAAAAAAAATGAAGTTACTCAAGTTATACTTTAAAATAAAAACCTGCAAAAATATATGCATACATTAATCTAGTTTTCAAAGAAGGTCCCCATAGCAACGAGACTATAAATAATAAGAGTAAAAGGTTGTGAGAAACCGAAATGTTTTCTAAGGTCATCTCTGGATCCTGTTTATATATTTTATACCATTTTCTATTTTGTCTAATCAAGTATTGGTTTTTATGGTCAGGCAAAACTAAATGCTATAAAAATATAAAAAGGTTTCAGAATAAATAGCATAATGGAAACAAGAAGATACACGATTGACTGGAGCATTAAATTATTTCCTTTTTTTTTTTTTCACATTTAAGATGCTGACAATACCTATAAGTGACATTTCCTATAATTTCCCTAGATCAAATTTTCTTCCCTTTTGGTGATGAAATCAAACGCTGATGTGGGATTGTGCCTGTGATCAAGATTGTGTATGTACATGTAGGGGAGGAGGGAGAAAGAAAAGTGAGAGCACATCTAAGCGAAAGGCTACACTCAATTTTATTACTTTAAATGTTTAGACTAGAAGTCTGAGCAGCAGCTCGATATGCCTGATATTCCGGTAATGGCATTAAACAGCGACAGTGCATATGTGAGTGGATGTATTTCCATGACTGTCATCAGTTCCAGTCAGTCAAGAAAACTGAAAGTAAACCGCTTTCCGGTGAAATGGTAAAGACCTTTTTTGCGAGATCACATGATAGTTACTTATTCCAGAACAGTAGGGTCACATCTTTATAAAGCACAGTGGCTTTTAAAAGGCTACTCTATCTGTTCCATTTTTTTTTTAAAAAAAAGGAGAAAATTTTGAAAAAGTAAATATCTTTAGATATAAACCAATTGCTCTGTGTGTATGTATATTTTTAAAAAATAGTTATATATTTCTTTTGCTATCCCCTCCGCCCATCTCTGTTTCTTATCTTCTATTGATCTTTGTTTCAAAAATCATTTAGGCTGTTTTTTCCCCCAAGTAAAATACATGAACACATGTTCATTATTATAAGTTGAAAACATTATGAAGAATTAATATTGTAAAACATTAATCACTCATTCCACCACTAAAAATAGTTTGGTTTATTTCCTTTCAGACTTTTTTCCATATATACATATTTTATTATACATAAATGTGTATATATATAAAAATGTATATATATACAGACACACACTTTTGTATATATATAATATGAAAATGATATATTATTTATAATATTTTATACTACTGTTTTCATTTAATGTGTACAGTATTTCCTATAAAATTAAAAGTAATCAGACACTTTAAATGCATATCAACATAGTTCCATATGTTTAGCTTTTTTTCCCCCCAATATTTGACATTGTAATTAATATTGCAAAGTACATCCCTGGACTTAAACCCTATAGTCATTTCTCATTATTTCCTTATGATTATTGGATGAAAATCTATAGGGAATTTTTAGATATCTGAAGACACACTGTCAAGCCGTTTTCCTGAAAATATCTTCTGATGCACAGAACAGTGCAAAGAATCCTGTCACATATTCACCAATACCGATATTATTTTAAAACTGGTTTACTTGACAAAAGTTGGAATCTACTTATTTTACTGTGTATTTCTTTTATAGATAGTGGGGTTGAGCATTTAATGTTTATAGAATATTCATAACTTTTCTTCTGTGAGTTATCTTTTATGTCCTTTGCCTATATTTTCTCCTAACTTCTTGGTATTCTTACGGAGTGGTGTGAATTCTTCATAAATGACATTGAACTTCTGTATTTGACATTTACATGTTCCCAGGTTTTGCCATGTATTTTAATTTTATGATTATTTTAATGTGAAAAATTTAATATTTTTGTATAATTAAGTGTTCCAGCTTTTTGTGCTATTTTTTTCTTTCTTTTGTTTTTATAGAAGTTATTATTTCCATCAGATCAAATTCAGCATAGGAAAAGTTTTACAGTAAAGGGTAAGTCTTTGTAGACACTGTATCCTGTATTACCAACAAACAACTAATTGAAATTGTATTTTTTAGTATAATACTGATTTTCAAAGTAATAAAATTTAATATGGGACACAAGCCATTTTCAGGAATGTCTCGACCACTCAGATTGATATGCCAGTTAAAAAGCAGAATCTGTTTTTCTGTTCTAATCTTTAGTTTTGTAGCTTTCTATTGGGATACATTTAATGTGAATTTTAGTTATTAATATATTGTAAATTATTAAATTTTTGTAGGGTTCTAATAGTTTTACCACAGAAAAATGTATAGAATCTACGATGCCCTTCAAACAATTTCTACATAAATCTTGACATTTTTAGCAAGCAAGAGATCTTCTTATTTCTTCCCATTTGCTGCCCACTTCTCCGCAGTCTCCCTTTAGCACCTTCTCCTCTCAATCTCACATGTGCAACTCCCTACCGGAAATCTCAGCTTTGACGTCTAATAGGCAACTAAAATGCACCATGTCCAAACAGAATTCTAGAGTTCCTCTATTAAAGGAAACTAATAATCCTCTACTAGAAGAAATTCTATAGAGAAAAGAGCTTTCTCTACTTTTGAAAATGGCACTAACGTCCCTTTGGACCTCAAGCCCATACCCTAAGGATTATTCTTCATTTATTCTCTTTCCTTCTTACTCCATACCCAATCCATTACAAATCATGCTGAATTTACCACTAAAATCATCTCCCAAGAAGATATGTTTTGCTGCATCTCCACTGATCACCACCTCCTGTAAGCCGGTGCCATCTCTCACTTCTACTATGCTAAAGTCCAGCTGTGACTCTCATACTGATACAAGCATTTTCTCTTACAGAAGTCTCAGTAAACTTTTTAAATATCATGATACAATATAGCTTAAAGCCTACCAATAGTTTTCCATTAAAACATATCTATCTATCTATCTATCTATCTATCTATCTATCTATCTATCTAAACACTTTACCATGCCCTACAGGATCTTACAGGATTTGAACAATCCCTAACTTTTGGATTTCATCTTCTCTCCCTCTGACTTATGGGTCTATCCACACCAGCCTCCTTCCTGTTCCTTGAGTATGCGAGGTCTTTGTCTTTAGTGATTCCTGCCTTTGAAATGCTCTTCTCCCTGATATTTTCATGGCTAGTTTTGGTCAGTACTCAGATCTCAGCTTGACCATCTTCGCCTGGGGGAAGACTTTCCTCGATACATGTTCCAATGCTGCCCTCTCTTGCCTCCGCAGTATCCTTTAACATATTAGCCTATTTAATTAATTTCATACTTCTCATCTTAATTTGGAGTCATTTCTTTCGATTTAGTTGCTTTAAAATGATAACAATTGATGATATATTGTCTGACTCCTGCAAAAGTTTAGGTCATAAACTTCATGAACTCAAGGACCTTCTCTGTTCACCACTGTATCCCAGATGCTAGTATACTTAATTTTTTGAATGAATAAGTGTATCAATATATATCAACTATTATGGATTCAAAATTAATTGACAGCATAATGTGAACTGTTTTATAATTTACATTTCAAGGATCAAGCAACATTACAAATGGGAATGTAATAAATGGAAAGAATGCTGCCAAAAGTCAGAACATACCTAGGTTTAAACTGAAGACCAGCTTGGCTTTTTTCAGTTCCAAAGTAATGTAATCCCCTTGCTGCCCCTCTCCATGTAGGATTACTCCTTCACTTTCAGTGGTTTTAAATTTCAAGGCAATGACATCTTTCAGTGTTTTCATCTTCTTGTTCCTGAATCTATACGGTAACACAACATGGCCATCAAAGTTGATAACATCAGCCCCTAAAATAAGAAATAAATAACATTTCAGTTCAGTTATTGTAATTGCCATCCTGTGTGAAATAGATCCACTTCCAACTGGTGTCTGCACAGAATAAATGAGAAATAAGTCTATTTCTGAGAAATCTGGAGTCCTGGGCGCTCGTTCTATTTCTTCTTTCAGTTTGCTGTGTGTCCTGAAGTGGACTATATGCAAAGTATTCATAAAGAATGATCATGGAAACCTCTGTTGATAGAAAATCATACTTCAATTGTAATACTGAGAACATTAATTCCAACACGATTTACATGCTTCAATTTCAACTTGGGAGTCTAGAATTTACTTGAAAGAAGTAAAAATTTTAATCCCTGCGGTATTATGAGATTTTAATGTATTCTTGGGAAGTGAAGCTAATGCTTATGATTTTTAAATACACATTTCACTCACAAATTTGCTTTTCTTTGACCTAAGAATGAAAGCACTTGGAATGCAGGGTTTGATGGCATGCTCATTTTTCTAATGGTTTGTAATTTCTGCTACATTTTTAGTAAACTTTATGGTAGTACTGAGAGTCATAGCTAACTGAACTTCAAGAGGCTTCTTACCATTTGCTCCTGGGCCTCACGTCAGTCTCAAAGTCCTTGTTACCCTCTTGCCTTTGAAATGGAGAATCAAGCTGCCCATATTTTTGACAACACTGAACAAAGCCATCCTCACTCATATATACATCACAAGAACAAATATCTAGCCTCTACTATGACTACAAAAGCTCTAATTCTGTTTTAGGGAATTTCATCGAAGACATGAAATTATATCAACTTTGTCACCATCCTCAGAACAGTTGATGGTGGAGATTCATTTCATAACTGCTACTTATTCACACCAGAAATGGAAAATGAGATGACCTTATTTATTATGCACTGTTAGTTAGTGGGTTTCCAATCCATGGCATGGCTCCAAGATGAGTTGTATTCATTGAGATCAAATTTTGAGTACAAATAGAAACTGAGTTACCATAATTAGTCCTTTGTCAGTAAAAATATTTTTAAAACCCATTTCTTTTAGCTTTTACTTTTGAATCATAGAAAACCTAGTCAAACTGGATAGCTCTAACGACTTTAGAATTACAAGCCCAGATGAAGCCTGTCTCTCAGTTTGGGGCAAGGTCTTGCTAAAGAACTCCACAAGGAGACCTTGGAGAAAAATAATAGCAAGTGTAAAGCCTGTCAGAGAAATATTTTCTCATCTCATGTCCTAGTTCTCTGGCACTTGTTTACGTCAATCACCATGGGGACCACTTCAGTTCCAGTATAAGGAGGGTGTGCTGCCTCACGGTGGCTTCCGTGGAGGTGCCGGGCTTCCATAGCTCCATCCACTCTGTTATTGTGCACTACTTGCCATTACAGGTTTTGCTCTTATCTGATTCTATAAAGTGAATTGTCATGAATACAGTTATTTCAAACATTACTTAAAAGTAAATCCAAGTTTTCCCTTCAAATCATCAATGGATTTTGAATACTTTAAAAAATATTTATCCTATTATCGCAAATATTTATGTTTTTAAATAGTAGTTTAGAGAACTGTTGCATTCTCAAAGTTCAGAAAGAAAAATACAACTTTGATTTTTTTAAAATTCTTACAGTCAATTCTTTACTATAAGACTTTCTATAGCCATAAAAAGACTTTCTTAATCCACAGAACTCTGTTCTCTGAGACTCTGAATCACAGAAGTTTATTTTACTACAGGGGAAAAAAAATCAACCATTACATTTTGGCTTCTGCTAACACTGCAAAGCCACTTAGACTTGAGCTTAATCATCTATACTGCCACAGTGGAATTGCAATATCTTTCTCATCTGTGATGAGAGATAAAAGAGAGAAAAAGTAGAATCTGATTATCAGAGCCCAGGTTGAATTATAATCCAGTAGCTGGTAGAAATTACTTTTTGTCTCTCAAAGTGCATAAATGACAATTCAGAAGGAGGGAGTAAATTCTGAACTCTAGAAAGTAATTTTGCAGTTAATTTCTTATCAGTAACAGTTGAATAATAGACACATCGTTGTTTTATACACCTTCAATATATATTAATTGACATAAAATATTCCCCATTCATTTCTCAGAAAGTAAATGCTCCTTGAGTTTAGATAGAGGGAAGAATTCACCCCTCCTACATTTTCTCCTAAATCAAAATCTACGTTCAGCTCCAGGCATAGAATAGTGACTTATGCAAATAGTCATGACTTTCTTTCTTTTAGGGCAATGGAAAAAGTGACAGGAAGAATGGGTATGATTTATTTCTTCAGATAGTCCTAGGATACTAACAAAACCATGAAGGAATGCCATTTGTGAGGATCAAGCCTCATCTTACAAATGGTAAGTGGTCAGCGGTCAGTTGAGAAACTGATAAAATGTTTTGCAGGCCAGATCTCTCTCATTATGAAATCCTAGCTGTTCCTCCTTGAATGGGTTAAATGCTTGCACAATATCAGCATGTGCCTGTGAACTCAGAATTGGCTTTGAAATTACAAACTTCCTAGAAATCATCTATGATATATAATTTATGCTTAAACACATACCATACACTTTTAAGAGAATCTGGGATATTGTAAAATCCATCAGAATTTAGTTCCATTTCCTGCAGAAATACATTAAAATTTCATTTGACGTCTAATAATACGTTGTGCTTATTTTGGGACAAGCCACCTTTTTTCCCCCTATTACCCTGATTGCTTATCACTCCCCAGAATTAAGTTTTCTATGCAGTGATTAAATGTGTGTGGTTGAACTGTTTAAGCAATCTGAGCAACAATAATGGTTAGTCAAAAGTGAATGTAAAATCACAGTGCTTGCACAATTGTGTTTCTAACAATAACTCAGAGAGCTGGTAATGTGCCCAATTCATCAAATCGTCTTGGTAGAGAAGGCTTTTTGTTTTTTTTAACTTTCCTTGTTATCTAGTCTTTACTTTCTGAATCTGGGGATATTCTGATAAGGTATTTTGGAGAAGTGTTTATCATCTAAAGATTGTAATACTTTAAAAAATACCTTTGCTATATTTTTACTACAGATGCAATATACATTCTTTGTTAAAAAGACGTTAAACAATACAGAAATATAGACTGCAGAAAGTGAATCCGAAACTCAAGAGATCACTAATGTTAACGAGGAATAGCTTGGTTCATATCCTTCTATGAATTTATGCATAGGTTTAGATTTTATGCATGCATTTATCTATCTATTATTAATGGGTAATAAATTCGTGCAGTACCTTCCCTGCATTTATGCATTTAGATTTTATGTATTTATCTATCTATCATACGGAATAATGGAATAATCCATACATTATTATATCTGCGTGTGTGTGTGTGTGTGTGTGTGTATGTGTGTGTGTTTAGAGAGAGAGAGGCATCGAGACAGGGAGGAGAGCATCATTTCATTTAGTTATAGTTGTACAAAATGTACAGTGATAGCTTGCATTTGGGGTAATGTAATTTTTATAACGTAGGAAAATTTATGTTTTAGCTAATCAATATATTTTATTGATCTTCATGTACTACGGCACTTATATAAAGTAAGAACACTTATAATTTGAAACTTATTTATCCTATTTATTTGAAAAAATAGAACACATATTTGAATATAGCACCCCAAAGTAAACAAGTAAGTACTCTGGAATTACTTTTGCTCCTGTTTTTTCATAAAAATGTTTCGCTTACTTGTAGAAGACCTGAGGACAACAGAAAGATTTAAAGAAGAAAATTAAAAGGACATAATTCCATTTTCCTTTTATAACCTCTGATAATCTACGTTTTTGATCATGTTAATTAGCATCTACAGAATGTCTGTGTATGTACACAGATATACAGAGAGATCATACTCTATACAGTTTTGTGTCTGGTTTTTGTTACTGAACATTACATACATATTTTCCTTGCCTGAAGTTTTCTTAGGACTAGAGTGGTGTTGGTGTTTGGACGGAATACTAGAGAGTTGTAGTGTCCCTCCCATCACTTCCTGTCGGAAGAAGCATGCTTCCAACACGACTTCCCACTAGGGATGGTGGTTAAGGTGATGTCTGCAAGTTTCTTCACTGTAATGTTGGTATATTTCCCTTTCCGAACTCTATCGTGTGTAAGTGAGTCACCAGGGAAGTATCTACATATATTATCTTGAATCTCTGTACGGAAGATTTATTCTATGTATTCATTCAGTCAGTCATTTATATCAATATGGGAGCATGCATGTTTATCTTATCTTTGAGTTTAGTCCAATATGATTACTATTCAACTTGTTCCAGCTGTGGCCATTGGGAGCTCTTTAGGCTGGCTCCTGTGTCCTTTCCTCTCCTTCTCCGCCTCTTCCGCCTCTTCTCTTTCTTCTTCTCTCTCTCTCTCTCTTTCTAGAACTACCAGATGCTCAAAGCTCATCTTGCATTTTTCCTACCCTAGACCTAAAATCAGCCATTTTTCCAAGAAACTCTCATTTCTTTAGCGTAGAATGGTCTGGAGAAGCTTGCAGGTGTGTTTCTTTTCTTTTTTTGCTTTTCTTTTTATAAAGCACACAATAAATTTTCTACAAATAAATAAGTTGTACATCTCCTGTATGATGTGTTCTCCACATAAAGAAATAGATTACTGAGAGAAAAAGTGCGAAAACTTACAAAATGTTTCCTAGTAATCTATTTCACAAGGATTTGCCATGATTTTGAAACCTTCATTTTAATAAAATGTTTTGCATAAGGAATGACTTTTTAAAGGTAGTAATATCACAGTTAATATTTATTTAAGTGATTACTGATTACTACCTAAGTACACTGAAGTGATTGTGTTAATATTTAAGTGGTAATACATAGCACTTAATATTTTAAAATAATTTTTGCTTTATGATAAAATTAATATATATTTACTGTAAAAAATTTAAATGATGTAAGAAAGTGAAAAAATAAGTCAATTTAAATTATTTCCAAGGACATCACATAGATATCAAAATACTGTTAATATTTTCTCTCTACATATATTATTCCAGTATTTTTTCCTGTTATTAAATATTTTGCCTCAGCAAAATTTTTAATGGCTACACATTATTCCATTGTCCACATGGACTTCAGTTTGTAAAATAATTTCCTATTTAGTACATTTAACTTCTTTGTAGTTTTCTATAAATTCAAACATTTCTATAATTAACATTCTTGTAGTGAGATTCTTGAGCAATTTCACAATCATTTTCTTCCTTTAAATTTCTGAAGTGACATCACTCAGTTGAAGACATTCATTGGTAAAGACGTGTATTCAGTTAGTATGGAATCTAACATTGCATAATTTATGTAAATAAATACCCAAATCACTTTCAAGAGTTTGAAATATATCTCTGAAACTAAATTTTTAAAATACTACAAGGAGGAATTTGCTTAGCTTTGCAAATTTTACATAAACACAAATCAATATCGTCTTTTTTTAAAGTCAGATGTCAATATTTTGGATACGTTGACCATTCTTTACAAAATAGCGTGCCTGCCATCTTCACTCTCTATACTCCCCTCTATTCTTCTTCATAGCAGTTGTCTCTACCTGACATATTTATACACTTCTATATTTACAGCTTCAAGAATGTATCCATCAGAGACAGTTTGGCTCCATCCTGAAGCCCAGTACTTAGAATAGTGCCTGAGAAACAGTCAATACTCATTACGTATTTGTTGAATGATTGCATGTCATCATTCAGATTTCAATAAATTGGATTAAAGTATAATAAACATTATTAATTTTTCATTAAAAATTAGAATCACTAGATTGGAAAAATGGAGAATCATTCTGATCTACCTTAGATCCACAGCTACTAATATATCCAAAGTTTCAGTTGTCAGAGAAAAAGAATGGTAATATCACGTTCCTTTTTTGGGGGGTGGGGGAAATTCATTCCATCATTATTAGTCGACTTGGTATTATTTAATTGACAGCTCTGGTGGAGCACTGTCTATCTCATCTCATCTCATCTGCACACTGTTTGATATGATCAATTTCTTCCTTCTAACCCACTGCCTTTTCTTTCTATGTATCTGTGGTTTAAACCTAAATAGTTCGAATAGATTCTAAAATGTCAATAACAGCTAGTTTAGAGTAATAGCAGCAAATGAGCCTCTTCCAAATCCCTTAAAACACGATCTTGAGATAAACTCAAAAAGTCACTTCTACTTTGGGAAAAATAAAACAAAACAAAAACCTTAAAGGCTCTTTTACGAAGGTCAGCATCTCACATTTTGTGCACTGTTTCTCCTTAAAATGTGTTCCTTTGCCCTTAAGTGCTTGATAACTCACGGTAGAATGACGACAACAATATCAGAGGAGTCTGATTGCATTTCTCTATAAAATTTGAACTCCAATATCCAACTGTCTAAAAGACTGATCCACGTGGACCTTCGCAAGCATATCTACCTCTACTTACCCAAGACATAATTCTTTCTCTGGGCCCCATGCTCCTGTTCTTGTAGCCATTATCCATTCTCTCAAGACAGAGATCTAGGACTTTCTTTAGCTCTTCCCTTCTTTGTACACCTGCATTCAGTCAGTTCCAAGTCCCGTGAAACTAAGGACTTCTAAAACTAAGTACTTTAGCTCACTTTTTATACACACTACCACCAGGCTACCATCATCTCACCTACTGTCTACTGCATTAACATTGTTTGTCAATGGACAATTCCCATCCTCCAGCCTTATTTCCCTTAAATCTATCCTTTGCACAGAAGCTAGAAAGATCTTTCCAAAATAAATTTTTTTTTGCTGCAAAGCTCTTCAGCAGGGCCTTCAAGACCTTCAATGGTAGAGCTCCTGCCTGCCCCGACAGCTTCACATTTTAGCACCATCTTTCTCTTTGTGTGCTAATGAAGGTGAACCCACTGGTTCCCTTGCTAACCTCACCTAGTGCCTTTCCTCATGCTATGCTCACTTCCTTCAACAAACAGCTATTTTTTTTTAATCTGCTTTAAGTTTAAGAATCCTCTGAGTTTCAGGTAAACCTCACCTACTAGAAAAGCTGTCCTTGTGAAACATCCATGCCTATTGTTCCAGAGCATCCTGGCACACTTTTATCATGTCGTTTCTCATCTAATATTGAAAGTCGCTCTTTATGGGTCTGACTTCCTCTGTGGACTTCAAGCTCTCCTAAGGTACAGACTCTAAATTGTTCAACTTTGTATTTCTGGCACAAACAACACTTCTTAAACTGATCTGAACATAATTGGTATTTGAGACAATAAGACAAAAGGAGAATTCCGCTGTTTTTATTTTCCTTTGAAACCATACCTGGTGCAAGAAGTGTACTCTCTAAAAGTACAGACTTACGTGATTTAATGCCGTGCATGTATATAGATATTACGACTGTGGCTTTCTGATATGCATAAATACTTTACAACTTGAAATGCTTTCGTTATTCTCATACTGGAGTTGTTTATAAGTAAAAAACTAACACATTTAACTCTAGCATGAGTTTAAATACAAAATACGTGTTTTCCTTTAAATTGAATGCATTTAAGAGAAACTTGCCTATTCTAAGATTTAAACACCTTTTAACAAAGTAATTTTACACTAACTTGAGATAAATATTTATTGATATTCTATAAAGAAGCATAATGGGCTTGCTCTTATATATCTTTTTTTTTTAAAGATTGGCACCTGAGCTAACAACTGTTGCCAATATTTTTATTTTTTCTGCTTTCTCCCCGAATTCCCCCAGTACATAGTTGTATATTCTAGCTGTGGGTCCTTCCAGTTGTGGCATGTGGGATGCCACCTCAGCGTGGCTTGATGAGTGATGCCATGTCCGCACCCAGGATCGGAACCAGCAAAACCCCGAGCCGCCAAAGCGGAGTGCATGAACTTAACAACTCGGCCATGGGGCCGGCCCCTATATATCTTTTTATAATTGGATTATTTCATGAAAAGCTATAATATATATAAGTCATGATTGGCTAATCCTGTGGTTGGCCCACTTGCATAAGATGCAAGGAAATACTAGTGACTTTTTGAAATTATATTATTCAACATCAAAGGACAAAAAAACTCAGGCTCTCCCTCCTCCTCCCAAAATGGTCAATCACACACACACACATACACACACACACACTCACACACACACACACACACCCAGAGAACATCAGAAAATCAGTGATCCACTTCTGACCAGGGTTATAGCTCTAATATATCTGATAATGCAGAGATAATAAGCAATTTCTGAAAATTAGCATAAAATCTATTTGTAGGAAATCCATGTGGAAGCTATTTTTATTTATTTTTGTAAATCGAAAAGTCAAACAAATTAGACTTGCCTTCTCTGTGATAACATTGCTGTTTACTGAAAATAGCTCTACAGCTTTCCACCATACACAATCTATTTTTCTGCTTGGGAAAAGACTATCTAGAATTATAAATCCTAAGTAAAAAGTCCACAGATGAGGAAAGGAATCTGACATTGAGAAATACCCCAGGATGCCTTTTGATATAAATTATTCCTAACATTTATTATAGATATTTTTTTTTATCACTATTCAGTTAAACTTCAGCTTCTAGTTTCATTGGAAGCATTGTTGTCAGTGTTGGGGTCAAATTTCAATACCATATAGGCTAAAGGATGGCAATTTGATGTAGGGACTTGTTTTGAGGCACTGTTTTCATGCAATTTATATAATACTGAGGAAAAGATAAATTATCCATATTAGTAAACGGGGAATGGTGGACACAGAGGGGGTTCGGGGGTGTCATCCACCCTGGCCATCTCTCTAAACTGCTCTGGCTTTCTTCTGCTTCCTCTCTGAATTGATCATATCTTTTAATTTTCGTATTCTGATGCTTGACACCTGGGGCTTTGCCGACCCCAGAGGGACTGCCCCTCCTGGGGTTAGCCACTTCCTACAAGCCCACTCTCCAAATACAAAGTAACCAATCCAGAGCCCACGGCCCAGCCGTCTCCTCTCTCAGGCTGTCACACTCCAGGCCACTATCTACTTGCCCTAATCACTCCAGGGTCAAGTACCAGACAACTAGGGCCAGTCCCTGTGCCCCAGAGCCTGCTGAAATTATGTAAACTAGCCAATCCTAAACCTGCTTACCTGCCTCACTCATTCCTTCCTGCAGAAATCACAATAAAGGCTCTTGCCCATCCTCTCTCCTCTTCCTCTGCCTCTTGACTGACCCTGGGGCTTCCCCTTGTGGCCTCCCCAACCCCCCATGGTGCAAAGTGCCCCCCTCTTTGGGATTGTGAGTAATAAAATATCCTTTCAGGGCAGTTGTTTACTGATACGTTGGCCTTACTATATCTTAAATTTAAGAAAAGAGTAAGGCCAACATATCAGGAACTACATTCTAAACAGAATATACTATATTTTAAAGCACAACTGTTAGCCTTGCTATACTTCAGATACACTATATTCTAAAATACCCTCTACAGAAAATTCCCTAACTATATCTTAGAAAAGAAAAGAGGAGAAAAAATTGAAGTTTTGGCCAAATAAGAGAAAAATCTTGGAAATGTTGGCAAGGATTTTTCCATAGATCTGCAAAAAGCTCCTTTAGAGAACCTTTTGGAAATTATTATCAAATGTCTGATATCAACTAGCACTCATTGAAATACCTTCTATACCCATAGCGTTGCAACAAGAATGTGGGGCCATTGAGGAAAAGGGGTGAGTTTTAAGAAAGAACTGATAGACAAGCTCTCTGGTTGAAAAAGAGAATTCAGATTGAATAAGAATTCCAGACAGATGGGGGAACAGTGTATTCAATTGCTCTAAAGAGTTCAGTAGTTCTGTGTGATTTTAATATCTAAGGTTCACGGATTATGGGCAGGGTTACAACTGGAAGATGAAGGACCCAGTGCCCCATATGGAAGATACGGGCCTGTGTGAGTGATGCTGGTGTCCTAAGCGGAAGGCACACATTCAGATTTGTCTCTTGGAAAGATAACTCTTGTGTTGACGTGGGAGAGCGGGAGGGGGAGAAGAGAGAGCAAAGACCTCGCCTCAAAGAAGCTGAGGGTCTAATAATGTTGATGAAGTTCACACTAAGCCAGAATTCAGAAGATAATTGTCATTAAAGAATGCAAAGCTTTCCCATGATGCATTGTTGCTGCCCAGAATTCTGAGGTAGCTAAGGCTTCTATAGTGACTGAAGACTTTCAGATGAATGCTTATAGTGCAGTTTCCTCCAACAGTATGACAAATCCAATACCACAAAAGCATTGGGACTTACTTTTCTGGTGAGGAAGATTGGCCCTGAGCTAACTGTTACCAATCTTCCTCTTGTTGCTTAGGAAGACCGCTGCTGAGTTAACATCTGCACCAACCTTCTGCTGCTCCAGCTAGGATGCCACCACAGCATGGCTTGATGAGCAGTGACAGGTCTGTGCCCGGGATCCAGGCCTGCAAACCCTGGACCACCAAAGTAGAGCCAGTGAACTTAACCACTACACCGCTGGGCCAGCCCCAAGCATCAAGACTTTTAATGGAATTGAAACTACGCTAAAAACAAAAACAAAACATAAAAAAATCCCTTTGAAATATTTCAAACATTTGAATTCAATTATTTGCAGCACCCTAACTTTTAGAAAGAATCTCGTTTGCTGCCTCTTTAACCATTCCACACAGTAATGCTCTATCTCATTTAATCCATACTTTAAAAAAAATAATAATCTAAAAACGTAAATCCAGTATTTTTCTAAACAGCATGCACTTTCCCAACAACTTCTACAAAGTTTCCTGGACAAGCAGCAATATGCTCTAAATAACTAGTGAAGACTGTTCTTTTCATTTATTTTACTGTCTGTCCTTTTCTGAAAGCCAAATGAGTTGGTACAGATGATTTGTACTCACTTGCAAGAGATGGGGACATTTGCTTAGTACATTTGCAGTTTACGCGTAGGATGTAGTACATTACAGCTTCACTTTATTTTTGCTTTGATTTCATATACCTTTGGGTGCATCTTTTACCTCAAACATAAAATAGGATTAATAAAGCTCAGAACGTACACATGTTGTGACATAATGTGCTCTCTTCTCTCCACCAGAGCAGTTGGGTCCTGTCTGGTAAAGCACTAAATGAGGCTCTGTGGTCTGGTCGTCAACACACCTCAGCGACTTGGGCACTGGAGGGAATCTGATTCACGGTGAGCTTGGGTGCCGTCCATTACTTCGTGACACCCACACACCCACTGAGGCCCTGGTGAGCTGGCTGAGTTAATTCATTTCCATAAATGAGCAATGCTCCTACCACTTGTACAGAGAACTAGTCCTGACAGGGCTAAAATAATTGGAAGCTCCTGAAATTAGAAGTCATAACTTCAGTGCTCGGAGGGGACAAGCAGGTCATACAAATCAGTGATGCTGGCTTGCTGTAAAAACCATTGATCTGTCTTTTACTTTGTCACTTTTGATAGCGATATGGGCAACAAAGACCGTACTCTCTCTGATTAAAAGATCAACAGGGAAAAGATGCTAAATTAATGGCTTAAAAATTTGGTCTTGATGGTGGAGAAACAATAGGAAGTGTTTGGGACGTGTGATGAGTATAAAGGAGGTAGTTTCCTTTCACCTGTAGCAAACTGAAGCTATGCAGCAGCTCTGGTGTTACTCAAACATGGAATTTTCAAGAAAGGTCAATAATCTAAGATTGTAATGAAATCTCCCTATTTTTAAATGTTGAGCAGCTGATTTGGGGTTGTATTAAGCAAAGGCTGCTAGCTAATGCCCCACAGATATGTTTTATTTGGCCACACATCTTTTTAAACTTGAAGACTGTCAAAATATAAGACTAAGTGGATCATAACAAGCTTAAAAAAATATATTTATTTTCCATGATTTCGTAATTTACCTGTGAATTACTGCAATATGTATCAACAAGGAATTTTATTCCTCAAAATACAATTTTTTAAGAAAACAAGTTGGTTAGTGCTAAATAAGTACAGTGGATGGGTTAAAAAGACAAATTTTAAAGGTATCATATGATACAATGATATACCTCTATATGCTACCATAAAGCTACACAGGGAAGAAGGAAGGAAGGATGGAAGGACGGAAGGAAGGAAAACACCATAAATCTGAGATTCATTCACTTAGAGCACTGAGATTTTGGATAGAAGACTTTCTTAAAAAGAAATATGTATACTTTTTGTATGTGTGAGGAAGATTGGCCCTGAGATAACATCTGTTGGCAATCCTCCTCTTTTTGTGTGAGGAAGACTGTCACTGAGCTAACATCTGTGCCAACCTTTCTCCATTTTATGTGGGATGTCGCCATAGCATGGCTCGATGAGTGGTGCCAGGTCCACACCCGGGATCCGAACCCACCAACCTGTGGATGCCAAAGCAGAGTGTGCAAACTTAGCCACTACACTACCAGGCCAGCCCCCAAATATATATATATTTTAAAGTATTACCAGTTACCAGGTATAACCAATCCTTCGTTACTGGCAGATTCTATATTTGCAAATTTGCCCACTCACTAAATTTGTTTGTAGCCCTGTTCATGAACAAGTGCAGAAGGGCAAAACATTGGAGCCCCCTGATGCTCACATTCCCAGCCAAGGTGGGACAAGGCAGTGCTCTGCCTTCTTGTTTCAGCTCTCACTCTACAAAAAAGCGTCCCTTTCACAAACTATTCAATGGCGTGCTTTTTGCATTTTTGTGCTTTTGTGGGATGAGTTTGCTGTTTAAAATGCCTCTCTCCCAAGAGGAGTGTTGCAGTGCTGTCTGGCGTTCCCAAGCTCAAGAAAGCTGTGATGAGCCTTCTGGAGAAAATACATGTGTGAGATAAGCTTTGTTGGGGATGAGTTATAGTGCTGTTGACTGTGAATTCAATGTTAATGAATCAACAATACATACCAGATAATATGTTTTTAAACAAAAACACAAATAAAGCGAGGCTAGTATTGATTGGTTGACAAAGATGTCGTGACCAGAGGCTCACAGAAACCCAACCTGAATTTCCCCTGGGAGCAGTGGTTCAGTATTTGCGAATTCAGTCTTCAGGGCAACTTTAGAGAACATAACTACTGAGAATAATGAGAATTGACTGTATTTACATGGCATTCATTTTTTTAAACAGGAAAACGAAGAATCATTTCAAACTACCACATATATGGACGTGAAAATACAATAAATAAATGTTTAAATTATCCTTGAGGAAAATGATCAACAAACTGTAAATCTCTTCATAGATGAGTGTAATGCTACATGGTGTCATTTCATACATGTTCTACTTTCTTCTTCCCACTGCTTAGACATGGGGGTTAGCACATGCAACTCACACGTAGAGCTTACAAAGGCAACCCCCTCATTCCTCACATGTTGACTGCAATGAAACTCTGTGGGTTACGTTTCTAATTATTGCAATTCTCTAAGCACTTTATGATGAGGATTAATTTAGGCTGGTTACTTTTAAAAACTGAAGATTACAAAGAGGCTCTGAGGTGTGGAATTTGCTTGCCCTTTGATGAGACACATTTGCATTTGTGAAGGAAGTCTCCATCTGTGGGGGTGTCTCCCTCTCTGCACCCAGGAGGAAGGGGGGATGGCCTTATCTCTAGAAACTCTTAATGGAGACAGCAAGGACTTAAGTCTTGTTTATTGTGCTTGTCTGGTAACCTCATGTAGCTGACTACGCCCACCACCAACATCTTCCTTTGTCTTTAGCTAAAGATAATATTTAAGGTGGTGGCTTCTGCCATTTACTTAATCCGGTTTGATTCTTATCTAAAAGTTATAGGACCACCCAATAACCAGACTCCACCTGCACTGATACCATTTTAACAACTTTTTTTTACATATTCTTTCCTTTGTCTTGTAAAGAGATAACTCACACACCTATGCCTTAAATTTAGCCCTACTCTCAACCCATGTTTGCAGCAGCAGCAGCTCCTCCTGCCCGTGGGTCCTGTCCCCATGCTGTTCCACACTATTCTCTGAATAAAAGAGCACTACTGCCAGACCTTGAGAGTCCAAGAAATCTTTCCTTCGACTCCTCAGCTCACCGACCCTGCATCACTTTATGCATAGTAAATCCAGTCTTAGTAGCACATCAGTGTTGAAGGGGTTCATAACACGTCACCCAAAATATGACTCTTTGGTATGTTGATTATTTTGAGCTGAAGGTACCTGAGAAACAGCAGAGGCAGGAAGGGCTGGCTCATCTACCCCTTTCAACCTAAAAGCAGGCCATAACATTTGCCATGAAAAAGGTGCCTTTCCGGTCCCAGGAAGAGAATAACAACATTCTTATTACCAGACACTAGGGGTCAATGTCAAAATGGGAGTTGGAACCTGAACAAACCAAGCTAGTCAAATAACCCTCATCTTCAATTAGTTTCCCCCAAATATTTCCCAGTCACTATCTCAATGTACTGCCCTAGCCCAAGCCCCTTTGTCTTGTCACATCCTTATAATTTATCATCCTTTATTTAAAAGTATATAAGCTTTTGGGCGTAATGGCTTCCTTGCATCTTCATTTTTCTTCTGAAGATTCCCAAGTACACACAAAATATTCAATAAAATTTGTATGCTTTCTCCTGTCTTTTTAAGTTTAATTCTTAGGCCCAGACACAGAACTCAAAAGGGCAGAAGGAAGTTTTTCCTCCCCTCCATTGCGTAGAATCCCACAGATTCCCTGGGAATCACAGGATCCAAACCACCCCTCCCATTTCCATTTCCCATGAGGTAAGGCAAGAATTTTCTTTTTCATTTAGCCATTTAATTATTGCCTACTTTTCCTGATGTTATAGGAAATAATTCTCTTGAAATTTACAGCATAAAAATACATATTTTATTGAGTCTATTAGAATGGGAAAATTAGTCTGTCTACCATCTAAACCCTAAATTACACTAAGGCTATAAATAAACTTGACATTGACTTCTTATATTTTAAGAATTTTAGGTATTCTTTTGTATAATTTATACGTTGAATTTCTTTTCCTAACATAAACTCAGGGTTTCTCTTGAAGAGGTATAGCATTTTCTTTTGAATAAACGCTTGAGCTATTGAAAATATTGGAAACCCATTGGTGAAGGTGCAGAATTTTGTAGCCTCAAGAAGGGGATTAGTTTGAATTCACAAAATGTAAGGGCAGACAAATGTCACAAATTTACATTAACTTTAGGAAAGTTTTGTTTTTGGGGTTTTGTGTGTATGTGTGTGTGTGTATGTATGTTTTAGAGGGCTATTAAGAAAGGAACAGAATTTGGAAATAGGACACATTTTGATACAGTGCCTACACATCCTATTTTCAACTTTCTGCTTTTGACATTTTTTACAGTTTAGGTCAATCCTGACAATTTATGCACTTCCCAAGGTGTGACAGATATAATGCTGTTACAAGTGCTATTTATAGTAGGGTGGCTAAGTCCTTAAAATGTCAATGGTTGAGTTTCTCTTAATGTGCACCTACAAGCAAAGCACAAGTCTTCGTTCTAGGGAGATAAAGGGCATGCTGAGACAGGAAATTTAGTAGAAAATTAAAGCGATGCCAGCTTTCTCATGACCCAAGAAGCATTTCATCGAATCAGCAGAATTATGACCATGCCGTCAGACTCCAGGAGAGCCCTGGACCGGAACCCTGGGACTTCAGACCCACCCTGGCCTATCGCCCTGGGAGAAGTCAATTCCTTCAGTAAGATGAAGGAAGGGAACAGATGATCTCTCAGATTCCCTTCAGCTCCAAAATTAAGCATCTCCTATTCTGAGTGACTTGGTCAAGCTTGCAAAGAACTATACACTTATTTTTAATGTTGGATTATAAATTAGATTCTAGAATGGCAGAATTCTGAATTTTAGAGCATATTCACATTTCTTGATTATTTTAGAACGTTATCAACTGGACATTCCCAAAGGCAGTTTTAAAACGTAAAATCCACAGACACTGAAACATTTTCACCAGTGGCTACTTTGGACAGATAAAATTTATATACAATGTGTCAAAACTTGCAAATTGGAGCGAAAGTATTACATTCTAAACACCATATATAATTGTCCATATTGTTAACTCCTTAAAAGAAAAGAAATAATCATTTACTATATGGAGGCTTCCAGAAGTGAAATCTAACAAAGTAATTTATAATGGTAGATTAATAGTTAATTTGCATTCTTAGTGCCTTGATAATGTTTAAACAGACGCATAAGTAGCAAGATTGATTTATTTAAACTCTAGAACATGGGAACAAAATTACTTATCTGAGTAAATTAAGGAAAACGTTCATGGCTACCAATATGTGTGGCCAGTAAGAATGAATGTATGACCTTGAGCAGGTGTAAAAGATCTGGTCGCTTTCAGCTGTAATGTGACATTCGTCTCTCTCTTTTCACTAGTGTTTAGTCTGGCACAACAGCACAGCTCTTGTAGATATCAAAGAATTGCAACATATATACTGTTCCTTATCTGTCTTCTTTACTAAATCAAGATCACCTTGATGGGAGGGGCTTTATGTTTTCAGTGCCACTGATCCTGGTTCACCGTAACTGGAGAAGTGACACAAGGATTTAGTTAAAACTGCCAGCGTTCTAATTCCCGCCAAATCACAGAACTTCTTTAAGCCTCAGTTTCTTTGATTGTCAAAAGGTGAAGGTAACGACATAACATGCTTTATAGAATTGTGGAGATTGGATGAATTTATACATGTAAAGCATTTAAAACAGCATCTGGTACATTGTAAGCTGCTAATAAACATTAGCTTTTATTGTTACCATATATTGCTTTCATTTAATTGATTTGAAATAATGAATATTCTAATCCACCCACATTGACTCAGGCCTGGAAAGAGAGCATTAATAGATTTAAGACAAACTGGGGAGCCATGTTTGCTGACTACAGGAACCACCCAACTTCCTGTTCTCTATCTTTGCTGCCTTCATCAATGCGGCGTATTTTGCTCTCCATGAGGAAGGCAACAAAATACAGAGAAATAAAGTAAAAGGGAAATAATAAGTGCTTCAGCCTACTCTGTCTCTTCTCTTCACTGTATTAAATAACACTTCAGGACAAACAAGCATTTTGGAGGTCTTGTGGCCCAGCCCTCTCACCACAACCTGACAAACCTGAGGGGCAGGGTCAATGCCAGGGGCCTGTCCCCACAACTTTAATAAAGATTTTCAGACTGAGACGTGAACTCAAATCCCTCACTGGTGATTCTGTCCACAGCAGCATAACAGAAGCCATAGTTTCTTTATAGCTCCTGAATCTGCTATCCAGAAAGCAACGAATATTTATTGAATACAGGAATTCACTATTAGAGCATCTAGTTGAATGTATGTATTAAATGTAACTTATGCTTTTGAACATTTAAAATGACCAAATTTAGTGAAGTCTAGATTTTTTGGCAAAGCCTTGCTTCCAATTTTTGTACTTTAGGACTTAATTTGACGAGATTCTGAAGAATTGAAGTTGAAGAAAATGTCTCAACTGCTAAGTTACAGCGCTGTGGTTAAGAATATATTAGCTAAATCAAGTAAAAAGAAAAGAAAAACTGCAAAGTTTCAGACATACGTGAGAAAAGCCAGACAACATTGTTTTTCCCAGTGGCTCTGTGGCAAGTGGCACTGGGTACTATTTATAAAGGCTTCATACATAGCACGTGGAGGCTTATAAAGAGAGCATTACAGACACCGACAGAGACAGCAGAGTGCAAAGCCTAGGATTGGTGGCAACAATAAAGTAAGAAGGGCAGGACCCTGATGACTTCAAACTCCTAAGCAACTGGTGCTGATACAAGATGTTGAAGGAGTGGGAGCCCCAGAACAAGCAGAGAGGCCGGAATGAACTATAGCATCAGCTGGGAGACAAGCAACTCTGTCTGCAGTGGCAACAGCTGGGGTAGTGTGGTTCCAACATGACACGGGTAGAAACCAAGCTCCCTTGTGGTATAGGTCCGTGCCCGGGAGCCAAATCCAGGTCCCCGAAGCAGAGTGCGCCAGACTTAACCACTAGGCCACTGGGGCTGGCCCGAAACCAAGCTCCTTTGAGCCGCACCGTGAACACATCTTAGGTGGACAACTGGGCCCTGACAGCATGCCAGGAGAAGCCGCCTTGCTTTTCAGAACAGACAGATTTTGGACCTGACACAGCCTCTCAAGACTCAATTGCTAAACCTTTAAATACATACTTTTTAAAATAATATTTTGGAAATGCTTTTGTTTATGAGTGACAACTGTGTATTTTGTCACTTAAATTACCTTGTAAATGATATGATTTCAAAATTTAGAAAATATTCTTTAGTTAAAAATATAAGGTTAAGAAAAGAGCTTCGCAACTTTTAGAAATGTGTTTTTCTTCTCCAATTTCTATTTCTCTTTTCAATACTCCTCATTTTGAAAGTTACCACAGAGAAGCTCTAACATTTAGGTAAGGAGTATTCTCTTTTCCTGTTCCGAAAGTTTCACTGTCCCATAGAGATCCTTTTCTTTATTTTTCAAGATCCAAGTGAGACTTTTTTTTCCAAAATTTGGAACAACTTGTTTGATGATTTGACAAATCTTTTCCACTTGAA